GTTACGTAAAAAGTTTGAACTAATTCCGATCAAATTTAAATTTTTTACGAATTTTTAAAGTTTCTCCAAAATCAGACAAAAGTCCCTGTACTATAGTACAGGGATTTTGGCCAAATTTCATCAAAATTGACAGGTTAAAAATTCTTCAATTTTACTACATTTTCTGATGCATATACATGTACCTATGTTACGTAGAAAGTTTGAACTAATTCCAATCAAGTTTGAATTTTTAAAAAATTTTTAAAGTTTCTCCAAAATCAGACAAAAGTCCCTGTACTATAGTACAGGGATTTTTGTCAAATTTCACCAAAATTGACAAGTAAAGAATTCCTCAATTTTATTACATTTTCTGATGCATATACATGTACTTATGTTGCGTAGAAAGTTTGAGCTAATTCCGATCAAGTTTGAATTTTTTACGAATTTTTAAAGTTTCTCCAAAATCGGACAAAAGTCCCTGTACTATAGTACAGGGATTTTGGCCAAATTTCACCAAAATTGACAAGTAGAGAATTCCTCAATTCTATTACATTTTCTGATGCATATACATGTACCTATGTTACGTAGAAAGTTTGAACTAATTCCAATCAAGTTTGAATTTTTTAAAAATTTTTAAAGTTTCTCCAAAATCAGACAAAAGTCCCTGTACTATAGTACAGGGATTTTGGCCAAATTTCATCAAAAGTGACAAGTAGAGAATTCCTCAATTTTATTACATTTTCTGATGCATATACATGTACTTATGTTGCGTAGAAAGTTTGAGCTAATTCTGATCAAGTTTAGATTTTTTATGATTTTTTAAAGTTGCTCCAGAATCGGACAAAAGTCCCTGTACTATAGCACAGGGATTTTTGTCAAATTTCACCAAAATTGACAAGTAGAGAATTCTTCAGTTTTATTACATTTTCTGATGCATATACATGTACTTATGTTACGTAGAAAGTTTGAACTAATTCCGATCAAGTTTGAATTTTTTACAAATTTTTATAGTTGCTCAAAAATGAAGGCTCAAGCCCCTATTATGCCTATGCTTTTTTTCCAGAAAATGGCTCCAAAATCACCTTCATTGTTTATTAAATTTTTTGATACATATTGATGTTCTTATGCTAAGTATATAGAAAGTTTGAACTATTTCTGACTGTTTGAGTTACGAACATTTTAAAACAAGCCTATTTTTTCCAAAAAAAGCTAGTACAAGGTCTTAGGCCAAGTTTTTGAGCAACGTTACAAATAAATAAAAAGTCGAATTTTGATTAGAATTAACTCAAACTTTCTATGTAACACATACATGTAGATGAAATGGAGATACATGTATTATTGGGAGGGTAGTGATTTACCATTGTCCTCATCTTATCTCCTCTCTCTCTCTCTCTACAGTACACTATATCAGGTGCTACTGATGATTGGATTATAGTGGAGCATGGACTAATAGCACCAGCTTTATCATCTTCAACTGTTGAGCTAACTAATGAAGAGACTGACGTTAAAACTGAATTATCAGTAAGCCCACAATATAACATATTAACACAACTACTGTTATACGTGTAGTCATTAGCCCCCTAGTATTATTGGAGTCTTTATTCAATGCATGTACCTGTACATTGTAATGCTGTATAGCTAGAATCTATTGTCACTAAAATTCCCCAAAAAAGTTGAAAAGAAATTAAATTTTATGAAATAGATTTTTAGACAAGTTTGTGAAATTTTTGGGCCATAAAATGGTCCAAAATTAATAATGTATAAAACCAAAACCAATATGCCAATACCAAAAACTCTTTCCAACAGTACACTATATAAATGCAGATCATTATTAAGGTTTACTATTATCTTATTATTATTATTATTATTATTATTATTTTATTATTATTATTATAAAAACCAACCAAAGAAGAAAAAAACAAAACTATTATTGTATTATTATTATTATTATTATTATTATTATTGTATTATTATTATTATTATTATTATTATTATTATTATTATTATTATTATTATTATTATTATTATTATTATTATTGTTATTAGGTTTCATTTACACTTGAGAAGGGAGTGAGTGTTTCCCTGATCAACTCAACTCCAGAGGAACTATTGCTAGCTACAGTAACTGGAGTCCGTATTGAATTTGTCAGTACTGCAGTTCACCAGTGCATCAATGCCACCATACAGTACATACAGGTAAGCTTTATAGCACCTGACTTTTGAGCTGCAAAATTCTTACTGATTAGCATGCACTGAAGCTACTGTTCAAAGTTCAAACACTAATAATGGCAGGTGCTGACATTGCAAAACTAATTTTTTTAAAAAGCTCAGAATAAGAGCAATTTTAGCAACATATGTTATTTTTAATACTTTTAATATTTAAAAGTATTAAAAATAATACTTTTGACAAAGAAATGATAGAATTAATCCGCCTCCATTTCACTATACGAGAAATACCCTCCCTACCTTATTATTGGATAATTGAATGATTTAAAGTCATGATTTAAATATGTAGTACACATCTGAATGACTCATTGTTTTTACTATTATTATTAGGTTGATAATCAGATGCATAATGGGTTTCATCAGATTGTTCTGTTCCCCACTCCTCCTCCCTCAGGAGAGTTGGATACTAACTTCCCAGTCATCAGTTGCTTCATTGAGAGACTCCCACACAATTCACCACTAGCTACTGTCTTTAGAGTGAGTTAATAGGAGGATAAATAGTCAGTTATGCTTCATGAGCTGATAAGCACTACAATACAGAACAGCAACTTTAAAAATTCATAGAAAATCCAAATTTGATTGGAACTAGCTCAAAGTTGATACACAGCTTAGAACATGATTATAAAAATGTAGAATTCTTTCTTAGCCATTTTTGAAACTGTACATGCATGCACAGTTTCCTATAGCTCTACAAGCTTAATATTTTATTTCATGATAGACGTTCGATGTGAAGATCAAACAGTTTACTGTTCTACTTGAGGAGAAGCTGTTATTCCGATTGATCCAGTGGTCAGGCTATGGTATTAGAAATAATGACAAAGATGCCGATACTATCAAATCACTTCTGATACCTAAAAAGCACTGGTAATGTCCCACTATAATGTACATGTATTTCTCTCCTTTCTTTCTCTTTACACTTTTCCCCTTTATCATGAAACTACCTCTCTCCATTTATTGCTTCTATTGTGATAATTTTCTCCTGCCTCTGTCTTCCTCTTCTCTCTCTATAGGGGTAGTTCATCAGTCCTGCCATCAAGACAGATATACATTGAGCAGCTACGAATCAGTACCAGTGAACTGTTGGTCAGTATGCACACCACGTCACAGTTACCTGAGGATCTAGCAGCCATTAAAAAGAGTCTTGGTTTTCCTCTGGTCCAGTTTGAGTCTCCTATCATACTTGAGGGATTTAATAAGTCGCACATGCTAAGTAGACCTGTAGTGTTTGTGGATTCCATTACTAAACATTATAAGAAAGTAAATCAGGCTCTTTATTAGTTTATATGCTGTATCTACTCTCTTCTACTCTCTCTCTCTCTCTCTCTCTCTCTCTCTCTCTCTCCTCTCTCTTTTAGGTTATGAAAGGTCAAGCTGTCATGATATTAGGATCAGTTGATTTCTTGGGCAATCCTGTTGGACTCATCAGTGATGTGGCATCAGGTCTGTGACAGATCTTGTGAACAATAACTGTAACTTATAATTTTTTAAAAAGTACATGTACATGACTGCATGTACACCAAATGTGTGATTAAAGGGTAAGTCCGGTGTATTGTTGGTGAATTTTGTTATTGGCTTAATATGATTGCCTGACCATAATTAATGATGTATTCCAACTCCCATTG